CCCTCCAATCCTTAGCCTCTTTGCAATGGTGCGCACGTGCTGTAGGCTACCCTGTTGTTCCTGAAAGATTTTCTCTGTCTCCTTCCTCCTAATTTCTATTATCATTTGCTTTTTCTCCTGCTACTCTATCCACTTTTTGTTAGGTTTCTTGGCAGACTTATCTTCTTATACCCACCCAGTAAATGTTGATGGTTCAGACATTGTGTCCACAGCACTTTTCTTAATTTTCTCTGTGTGCTTTATTCTCTATTATTGACTTAGCAATTTTTTTTTTAAAGAGTCTCCTATGTGCCAGCCAGTATTCTGGCCATTTGGGGATATGAACATGAATGATGGGTTCTTGCCCTTAATCAGCCTGTGGTTTAGTGGAGGAGCAGGTACAGAAAGCAAATAAATATGCCACAGTGTGGTGTGGGTTGTACAGGGTGTTACAGAAGTGCAGAGGAGAAAGGGATTAACTCTGCCTGGTGCTATAGGATCCAGTTTGTGCAGGAAGCAGCAATAAATCAAGAGTCCCAAATTCATATCTCCAGGCAAGGACTGTCCCCTGTCTCCTGAAACACTCGAGTTTCAAGTGATTCACCAGACGTCTTTACTGGCATGGCCTGCAAATACATCAAATCCAAGATTTCCAGAACTAAACTCCTTCCCAGAGCACCCTCCCCTCCTTGCTCTGCCATCATCAGCCACCCACTCACTCACCCAAGCTGGAAACCCCAGAGCAATCCCATACCCCTGTCTCCTTCCCTCACCCAACCACATGGTTCTTCCTCTATGTGCCCATGTCTCCTACCTCAACCAGGAGCTTGTTCCTCTAGCGTGGAGTATCGCACACATTGCAGCCACTTCCTGACTCACTGCTCTCCAAACCTAGCACATTCAAAAATCTCCAGTGCCTTCCTTGCAGAGTCTGGTTCGGGAGGTCTAGGGGAAGGGGCTCGGGTGGCCTGAAGGTGAGGGGTTCATGGACCTCACCGTGGATGCTTTTTGGCGTCTGGCTCCAGTCTGCCCTGCTCTTGCCCGATCTCACTGGCTCCAGAGGACACATGGAGGCACAAGTATGCTCACATCACACCTTGGCTGCAAAGCCTCCAGTGCTTCTGACCTTCTTAACACAGCATTGAAAGTCTCTCCTAAAATGCCGGAATCCTTTTAGCCAAGTAACTAACTCATTTTATTTCTCTGTCAAATGAGCAAGGTGGCCTCAACGGCCTCCAAGGCACTTTGTAGCTCTGGTGTGCTGGATTCTGAAGACTCAAACCTCCTTGGCCTTTCTTCAGTGAGCTTCATTGATAGCACTGGGCTTGGGGTTTGGCTTCACCCCCTGCCAACAGACCTCACAGCCCCACTCTGCCTGAGGAAGTCCTGACTCTCAGTAAGTAAGTACATGTTCACTGCCCACTTCAGAGGGTTGCTGTGCGAGGATTAAATAAATAGAATGGGAGTAGAGCTCTCAGCTCATTATCCAGAACATAGTAAGGCCTCAATATTGAAAGTTAAAATCAGGGGCTGTTGGTGTGGTGGTACAGTGGTTAAGCCGCTGCCTGTGACACAGCCATCCCATATCTGAGTGCAGGTTTGCATCCTGGCTGCTCTGACTCTGATCTAGCTCCTTGCTACTGTGCCTGGGAAAGCAGCTGAGGATAGCCCAAGTGCTTGGATCCCTGTCACCCATGTAGGAGACCCGGATGAAGTCCCCGGCTTCTGGCTTTGGCCTTGTCTAGCCCTAGCCATTGTGGCCACCTGGGGAGCAAACCAGCAGACGGAAGATCTCTGTCTCTCTCCTTCTCTCTCTGTCACTCTGCCTTTCAAATAAATAAATACGTAAAAGAAGGTTAATGTTATTGTCTCATGTGCTTCCCCTGTAGGCACCCTACCCCAGTTGCCCTGGACTGGCTTACCATGCCCTGATTAAGTCCTTCAATCTCATGGTCACTCCCTGGATTGTCCTTCCCTGACCTGAAAAGTCCTACTCATCCTTCAAAGGCCTGTTCACCTATTAGCATTGTTGTTCACCGGAAGCATTGTTCTCCGCAGTTGCTGCTTTTGTTCAGAGAGGAGGCTCTGCGTGTCCCTCTCTGGAGGTGTGAGGAACCCAGTGTGACTGGGGCTCTCTCCCTGGAGCATCTTGAGGCTCCCGCAGTTATTCTGGGCTCTCCTGGCACAGAGAAGGTGCTCAGTAAAAAATCAAGGGAGTAAGGAAGTGGGGCCAGGGGACAACTGTGGGCAAAGTCGTGAAAGGCGCTCTGTGTCTCTCCCTCTGCTCTGCAGGGCTGCCCTTTGCAGCAGGGACTCCCGGTGGCTGTCACCCCTTGGAGCCCGGTGACCACCTCAAAGCCCCCCAGGAAGGCACTGCCCCTGTTGCTGTTCCTTGGGCCCCAGACCTGCTCAACCCCCTCTCCCTCCAGGACTGCTCTCCTCTGCCTCGCTCTTTATCTGAACCAGGCTTAGTGCTGCTGCTCCAACCCAGGGCTGCTCCAGTAATGACTGCCTCCCTGGTGGTTGATTTATGCGCTCTTTGTGTCTGGGGAGGTTGACTTATTCAGGTGAACACAACCGGTCACCGAAAAGCTGCAGTGTTTTCATGCCATTCCGGTTCCAGAGACTTAAGGGAGGCCCAAGACCCCCTCATCCTGGGGCAACACGCGGTGTCAACACCACCCGGGCGTGCAGACCGTCTCGCCACTCCCGGCCACTTCCCTTCCCTCTCTCTCCCAGTGAGCTGCCAAGGCTTCCGCGGCAGAAGACAGTGTCAGCCCCAGGAAGCTATGAGAGCAATAAAAGATCTCAGTGTTTTCTAGGTCAGCGCCTGATCAAGCCCCCACTTAAACAATAATCTTGCCATCGCATCTGCAAAACCCTAGACTCAGGCCCCCAAAGGTTATTTCATCAATAATTCCTGAGCTTGCCTCCGGCGAGAATTATCCCCAGCAGACGCTCCAGGCCGTCTCTAAACGGGCTCCCGGTAAGTACTTCTTCGGCAGGAACCATTAATATTGTCGGAGGGGAGGGTGGGGCACGAGGGGTGGAAGTGTGCGAGCTGGGGAGGGCAGGAGGGGAGGAGAGGGAAGGCGGCGAGGGCAGGGAGGCCAAAGCGGATGCCACCTTTGGTCTGGCAGGGGGAGCTGCATTAATAAAAGTGCATTAAACCAGAACAAGTGCGTGCCTTCTACCTGATGATAAACGGCCTCACTGACCAATGACACTGTGCATGAGATCTTTCTGGAAGCCTTAGCCTTCGGCCTCCCCAGGCCCTCATTCCTCTGCCGTTGGAATGGGCTTCTTTGATTTACTCAGTGTATTTACCAAGCAATTTGCAAGAGCAAGTAATTACTCCTCAGTTCATTGACTCATAGGTGGGAGAACCACTTAGGTGCTCCTGTTTGACCTCTGGCCAGCCTTCCAGAGCTTCTTTGGATCATGGTCCTATTAGCATTTAATTCCCCCCAGTCTCCAGCAGTGCAGGCGTGGTGGCGCTGCTCCCAGAGAGCCGGTCCCTCTGCCCAGTTGCTTCTCTCGGCTCTGAACTTTTTACAGCTGTGCTTCCCATCTCCGGCCCCAGGCTGACAGCGAATGCACCTCGTCTCCCGGCTTTGGGGGCTTTGGGTGACGGTGATTAATTTCCTTCCTTCATTTATACTGTTTTCGTGGAGGTATTTATAGACTGTGATTGTGTTCCCTCTGAGCCGGATCCTTTCTCAACTATATAAATTTGCCTCACTCACGCTCTCCTGATACGACTTATCTGCTAATCCCTGGAACATTTGTTGGTATTTACGTTTTGCTTGGGTTTTCTGCACCTTTTCTAAATTGCACAGACTGGGGCTGCTCAAGCTGCCTCTGTCTCGGTGCTGAGCAAGGAGGGCTCACCTCTCTGTTCTCACCCGTTCTCTCCTGGGCGCCCCAGCCACTGAGAACCAGAAAGATGGCACCAGGTGGGGAGCAGGTTAACAGATGGCTTATAATTATAATACACGGGCACCTCCAAAGGAAACAGGGTCATTTTTCAAGAGTCTTTTTTTAACCAAAGTTCTTTGTTTCAATTCTCACCCCACCCCCCGTCCAACAGAAAGACCTCTACTTTAAAAAAACAAAAAGAGTCAACAGTTATTTCTCCAGGAATAAGATCATAAAAGTCCCCCAAGTCTTCATGGGAGAAAGAGACAAATACCAAGGAGGGAAGGGGTGTGACAGAAGTGGAAATGGAATTGGCGATTGCTTCTGTAACTCTGCTTAACAAGTCCAGGCTGGCGGCTGAAGCTGTGAAGTCCAGACTACCTGGGCCGTGGAAGACCCAGGAGATTCTAACCTCAGCTTCTACATGAGGAGACCAAGCTCAGGGCTGGGTAGGGGAACAAGTGCATGTTTTGATGGCATGCATTGCTGTGGTTTGGAAATTAGTTTGGGCATCCCCCAAAGACCCATGTGTTAAAGATTTGATCCCCAAGTCTTATGTTACTGGTTACTGGGTTAAGGCTGGAGACTTGATGTAGGGCCTTTTGGAGGTGATTAGATTGGGTTAGGCTGTGGGCTGATGCTCCCCATGATCTAATCGGAGTGAGTTTCTTAGGAGAGACCACACCAATGTGCACCTGGCTCACCAGGCGATCCCTCCTCCACAAGGCTCCCCCATTACCAACCTCTGGCCAACCTCTGGCCAACCTCTGGCCTCACTCTCGCCTGGGCCGAAAGGTGTGAGCCACAATAAAGCTCCTTTTTCATAAGCAGCTTATCTTAGGCACTTGGTTATAGTGATGGAAAGCTAGCACGCTTGTCTCGGGTTCCAACATGTGTCTTTTTGCCTATCTGCTATCAGTGTCCCAACTTTACTGAGTCAATGTTCATTTTCTCATTTTTAAAACCAGGAAGGTATTGCCTACTAGAGTACTTGGGTACTAGGCACAAAATAAACATTCTTGTTCTCGAGGCACAGATCAATGAAGTGACATGCCCAGTGCCTCCTTGTCAACCCCAGGGTCAGAACCCAAGTTTTCACTTACCATTTTAGGGCTTCTACTATGGAACTTCCTCCTCAAATCTACCCCGATGATCACATTCCTAGGAGCAGTCCATGAATTGGTGATGTTCTCAATTATGGTGCTTTGGCCAAAAGACACTTGATGTTCCCAGAGGAACACTCTGACTGTCTTTGGAACTGGGGGCTCAGGGGGAGGGGTTTGGTGGAGACAGACGTTGAATGCCACATGACCTTGCCTGTGAATGTAGCAGCTGAGCCTTTCAGGGAGCAACTGGGCTGGGCTGCAGTCACCAGTCCAAGTGGCAGTTGAAAAGGTTCCTTGGAACTTTTTACCAGGAAATACCAATCAGCGTTTCTAGGCGCTCTGCTGTGTGGTTTACCAATGCCATCTAACTTACCCCCTCCCCTACAGAAAGAAGGCATATTGCTTTTCATTCTATAAGTAAGAAAGCTGAGACAAGATACTTAAAAACATTTGTAGGAAGAGAATGAAAAGATATGTTCATTTTGGTGCATAACACTTGAAATCTAGGCATACTTTTTTTATATAATAACCATCTTCTATGAACTATTTGAAGACCCCACGAGTGGAAGGATTTCAAAAGTTTTTGGCACAAAATAAGCTCCCCTCTCTCTCTCTTTCTCTCTCTCTCTCTCTCTTTTTTTTTTTTTTTTTGACAGGCAGAATGGACAGTGAGAGAGAGACAGAGAGAAAGGTCTTCCTTTTGCCGTTGGTTCACCCTCCAATGGCCGCCGCGGCCGGTGCGCTGCAGCTGGCGCACCGCACTGATCCGATGGCAGGAGCCAGGTGCTTCTCCTGGTCTCCCATGCGGGTGCAGGGCCCAAGCACTTGGGCCATCCTCCACTGCACTCCCGGGCCATGGCAGAGAGCTGGCCTGGAAGAGGGGCAACCGGGACAGAACCCGGCGCCCCGACCGGGACTAGAACCCGGTGTGCCGGCGCTGCTAGGTGGAGGATTAGCCTATTGAGCCGCGGCGCCGGCCAAGCTTCTTTTTTAATTCCACTTCCCACGAATATTTTGAAGTCCTCTCATGTATCAGAGATTGTACAAGTCATCAAATGGCAAAGCCCAGGTCCTCAGTGGCCCAGGCTCATACACTCTGTTCTCATAAGTGGGTTAATGAAACCCACAGTGGCTAGCACTCTAGGGGTGCTTTGGTCTATAGGGCACCTGCCTCATCAACACATTGATAAGTTTTTCTAAATCCACTTAAGTTTCTCATCTTAGTATGAGTTTGTCTAACTTGGATCTGTTCGTCCAGCTTTGTTTTGTCTTTGGTCCGTGCTGTGGATTTTACCAGGGAATTGAAAGAACTTCCTCGCCATGTCAACAGTATAGACGCCCTGTCTGAATGCATCCTGTGGAACCATAGGACTCACACTGGATGACCCTTCTCAGCTCGTTCACTGCATTCTCTCTAAAGCCCAAATGCCCAAGGAAGTAAAACGTCTTATTCTAAAAGGGCCTCAAGGACAGTCTGCCTTGGTGCACCCTCTCCTTGACTAACAACTCCTCACAGCCAGAGTTGTGATACATAATCAGGATGTCTATTGCTCTGAGCGAACCACTTTTCCTTCTGTTCCATTCTTGCTGGCTCTGGAGAGCATCTGGGAAGCTTTCAGTGTCTCTGTTATGAACTTGAAAGCTGTGTTAAAAACACTGCTCAAGTTTCTCTTCCGCCAGCCAAATAAACTTGATTCTTTCAGCATTTGTCACAGAGAGAGATGATTTTCTACACATCCAGCCGTTTGCTAAGAGAATTACAATAATTTTGGAAGGCGAGTGCTTAGCGGGCAAGAGTGACCATGGGTTAAAAAGCTGTGCGAAGTAATTATCACAATGCCTGCTGCAAGTGGATTCTTACTAAATTTGTTTTTGAGCAAAAAAAGAGAAAAGAAAGACCGAGAATCACAATAGATTCTAGTGTCTTTCTGAATACAGGAAGGAGAAAGCCAGAGAGGGGGGAAATGAAAGAGTTAAATGAAAGAGGATGAATGCAAAAAGCAAAAAAATAGATCCAAGTCCATGTTCATCAATTTATGTATCTCTCCGATAGAGTGTATTTAGTCTTATTTTTTACAGATTTTATTTAACTGAAAGGCAGAGTAACAGAGAGGATGAGAGAGACACAAAGACACACACACACACACACACACACACATATATATATATATATAGAGAGAGAGAGAGAGAGAGAGGCAGAGAGACAAAGAGCTCTTCCATTTGCAGATTCACTTCCCAAATGGCCCGATGACTGGGGCAGGGCCAGGCTGAAGCCAGGAGCCTGGGAGTTCGTCTTGGTCTTCCACATTGGCGGCAAGGGTCCAAGTACTTGGGCCGTCCTCTGCTGCTTTCTCAGGTGCATTAGCAGGGAGCTGGACCAGAAGTGGAGCAGCCAGGATTTGAACTGGTGCTCCTATATGGGCTGCTGGCAACACAGGCAATTGCTTACCATGCTGTGGCACAATGCCAGCCCCTATTTGTATTTTCCTGTGAGCCAGGGTCACAGAATACTACAGTCAGTAAGAATGTGGGCTTTAGGATAAGAAAGAGCTGGCTTCTAATTCCACCTCTGCCTCAGGGTGTGACCTTGATCAAGCTATTTCATCTGCTTGTGTCTGCATTTCTTTTTAGTAAAATAAGGACAATGAGGCTGTCACTGGGTTATGAAGAGGGAAGGAGATACTGTGTTTAAAATATTCCCCAGGCTCATAGGTGGTATTCATTTCTTATTATTCTCTTAAACCACAAAGCTACTTCTGGGTCTTGGCTTTTGAAATTGTCCTTAGGCGCCTTCTCCTCTTTGGATTTTGCGGATTCCTTTCCTCAAGAATTGAAAAGATGGCTTTAAAAACTGTCAGGATTAGCTGGGCATTTGTGAGTTCAAGGGATCCTAGATGCGAACTAGCTGATGAGTTAATTATGTAGCTGTGGAATTAACATTATCATCACTGTGCTAATAATAATGATTGCATAATAGCATTATCCCTATAGCAGAATAAGTCCACTGGGTGTTGTACCTGAAGGCTGATGCAGAACTACAGAACACTTAACTCTTTCAAGTGCAATTTCCAAAGCTTCCATTGCATGGGGTATCATTGGTATGCTCATGAATACTACCCTCCCCCAAAAGAGATTCACATGGGAGAGAATGTCAATTTCATTTCTCCTGCAAAAGAAACTGAAATTCATGGCTCTTACTAGCTGTACCCCTGAACAAGGAGAGATCTCTAGAAGTGGGGAGCATGAAAAAGAGAAATTGGCTCTGCGAGTTTCCTTGGAGATGTTAGGAGGAAGTGGAGCGGGGAAGGCGGTGTTGGAAGCAGGGGAAGATGTTGATGGAGATGCAGCCCTTGCTCCTCTAAGACCTGCACCCTTGGATGAAGGAAGCAGCAGACACCTGCAGTGAATCTGCTTTCTGAGCTCCTCCAGGATCTCCGGAGGGAATGGTAAGCTCTCTTTTGGCACAGAGGCCTTGGGGTTCTTGGGTATGAAGGGATCAGAAGTGTCAGCCCTCCAAAAATGGGTCTCCTTTCCTCAAGTCACACTAGGAGAATGCACTCTAGGAGCAGTGTGAGCCCAATAAACTTGCTCTGTGGAACCAGAGGGGAAAACAAGTGCCCAAGGGCATCAAGTACTGGTAAGTGCTTGCATGCCACTCCCCACACCAGAAGCAGCCCCTCAAATCACAGCAGCCTAGCTCGGGTCAGCCAGGGCAGCTCTCACAGCTGCAAAGGGGCCTGTGGCGTCCTCTCCGGCTTGCAGTCTGTCCAGAACCAGATGGAAGGGTCATTCAGTTACTCTGAGGAGTCACAGCCTCTCAGCCTGTACCACTCAAATGTAGACAGACCTCATCCCTAGATTATTTGGTTAAAAATACAAGCAGAAATAGGATGCTTGTGCTTCATGATGCATGTTTTGGAAAAGATTTATTTTTTATTTATTTGAAAGGTAGAGTGACATAGAGGGGGGTAGAGACAGGCAGAAAGAGATCTTCCATCTGACTATTTACTCCCCAAATGACTGCAACAAGTCGTGGCTGGGCCAGCCTGAAACCCGGAGCCTGGAACTATATCCTAGTCTTCCATGGGGGTGGCAGGAGCACAAGCACTGGGACCATCTTTTGCTGATTTCCCATGCACATTAACAGGGAGCTGGATCAGAAGCAGAGTAGCCAGGACTTGAACTGGCACTCTGACAAGGGATGTCTGCATTGAAAGCTGTTGCTTAACCCACTGTACCACACCACCAGCCACGAATGGTGATTTTGAAAACTACCATTAAATAAAAGACAACTGCTGGGGACAGGAGTCCTCTTTCCACCTTTCCAGATGGAATGCTTAATAGCAATTCAATTTTCTAGTTTCTTGAATGGTACAGATCTAGTTCAGGTGGGAGCATCACCCGGTTAGCAGAGCATCAAGAACCTGGGTACTGGGTCTGCGTGTCTGCCTCTGTCCCAGGTACCCTGGATGACTCTGGGTCATCCCCTCACCTCCTGCCTCTTTATCTACACAATGGGAATCATCTCATCTACTCCCTCGTGAGGCTCCATGCACCTCCGTTACATGCTTGGAAATGATTAGATGGAAGAGACCACAGCTAGTGTCAGTCTTACTAGAACTGTTTAATAAATATTTATGTCACCCAGTGAGATCATGTGTGGTGTTGGAAAGGTTTGTGTGTGTTCTATTTAACACAGGGGCTGGGAAATGAGGGGAAGTGCCTACCTTGTCACTATTTATCAGTCTTTGCTAACAATGTGAGATGGATGATGGCTGCTAAACAATTTGGTGGCAGAGCATCATAAACGAAGTCTGTTTTCCCTGGAAACTGCATAACCATTTGAATTAATTTAATTTGAAATATCAAATTAAATTAAACTGTAGAATAATCCCCAAGGGAGAGCATATTTCATTTGCAGTGTCTTTTGATAGAGTATTCCCTGCCAAAAGTTTTGCTTTGCATCTGGCTACAGATCTAAATTTATTGCATTAGCTTTGAGAAGATTTTTAATAGAAAGCGAGATTAAAGGAAAACTTGATGGAAAATAAAGATGTTCTGTGCTGAAAACAGTACTCCCTGGGACCCATGTCTCTGACTCCATGCACTCTGTCTGCCTCTGGTCTTCAACTCAGATGGCAGATCCAGGCTGGATGTTCTACTGGCGAGCTTTAGACAACGTGAATGGACATGCACTGAAAATATCAGAATGGACACAAGGTCTGCAAGCTGGATAACTTCTTCCCCAAGCACTGATGGGGGCAGGGGCGGTCAATCTCACTGGAGAAGCAACAGACAGAGAGCAGAGACCAACATAAAAGACCAGTGTGAAAGGCACCAGGGCGCCTGTGTCAGGTGGCTGTGCTCTGTCCTCTTTCTCCATAATCTCTCCTCTAAGTGCGGTTCCCTATTAAGGTGTTGGGTCTACAGGTTGGGAAGAGAAGAGCTAATGGTGAATCCACCAGTTTCCTAAAATATAGGTCACCCCAAATCACCAGTTAGGAAATGACTGGTCTCTTTTTCTGTGGCAAGACATTGAAGAAAATTGCACTGAGCAGCTGCCTGCACGTTGATGCTGTGGGAAGAATCTATTTCCGCTTCCCGGTGAGCAAATACACAGCAGGGGGAGGCAGATGTGAGGGAAAGGTGTTTGCTTGAAACAAACAAGCCTGGCCCTTTAAGGAGGGTTTGTGCAGGCTTAAATTGGCCCCAAAGAAGCCAGCTAAGAGTATCTTAATCAAATTAAAAAGAAGTATTAGGCTTCAATCTCCCACACTTTAGTAACCTCTTCGTTTGTTTTAAATCTTGATTGGAAGAATTACCCTGACAAGAAAATTAGTAGTAAGTCAATAAGTCTGTGGCCCACAGATAGGGTATTAAAGTCACTAGAGGGGGAAAAATAGATTCCATCCCAAGGCTCTGGCCTGCCCTGCTCAGCCATAGACATGGGCTGCAGGCAGTCCCTTCTTGATCCCGTGTATTGGAGTGGGTGGGGAAGTTCATTGTGATTTTAGCCATGAAGCCCTGAAGTGCAGGTAATCATATTTAAAAAGATAATGGACAGGGCAAGAAAAGAACCTAGCTTCATGAAAAAATTCTAATTTTCAGCAGTTGTGGCTGGAAAATCAATACCACTCTGCCATGCAAACCGAGAGCTGGACTTGATGAAGGCACTTCCTCCCCTGGCTCTCTCCCAAAAAAGAAACATACCAGAAAGTTAACAAAGAAAGAGAACAGGGCCTGTGGCAGCTGAAAGTCTGCTTAGCACAGTGCCAAGTTCCCTGGGTGCCTGTGGCCCCTGCAGCCAACTCCTGTCACCCAGGAATTTTCCTCAACGATGCTCCAATCTCAACTTTCCTTCCAAACTGTGTCTTCCTGGCAGCTTCAAGCCAGTCTCCTCCATGCCACCCATTTGCCTCCCCCGCCACCCTCTACTCCTACCCTGAATACTCACTCCACTCCACCACTCAGAGAGGTAGCCTCTCCCCTCAGCACCCAGTGCTAGAACCTCGTCCAGGACTGTTCAATCCCATCCAGTTGTTATCTTGAAATAAAGAAAGGTGTCATTAACCGACTGGCCAAGGAACAGGGCTCTTTCACTCCTCCTCGTTAATTTAGGGTGGCAGTTGTAGGCATATCAGGAGATCTCTGTTTTAATCACCGATTATGTATTTGGCCAATAAAGCTCATATTGTTAACATTAATATATACATATTTATAACTCAATGGAGCTCGACATAATTAAGTAGAAATGTTCAAATTAACAATGATGATAATCATTCAAAATAAGATTCCCCTGATGTCTTCCAGCCGACTACTCCGCCCCCAGCAGTGCCATGGAAATTGTGAGCTGCTGAATGCGGCTCTGCCCACCCCGTATTTAAATGCAAACGCTTCAAAGTGGCCTGGCAACTGTAACAGATGATAAATAGAATGATCATGAATGTCTTCATTGAATGGAACTGAATGGAACGTCAACTGTATTCTAAGACCTCTAGTTGGGGGGCGGTTCTTGAAGAGGAAGGGGAGTCCAG